TTCCAATGCAGATTTTAATATAAAGATAAAAAGACATGGATTCCTTTTAAATATAATTCATAAGTAAGCAGAATTCTGTTAAAGATGTTTATGCCTTTCCCCTCTGATATCTGAAAAATATCTGAAGTTAACTTAATGGATGACACAGCCATTGAAAAGAAAGGGTTGTGGGAACTGCTGGGTGCTAAGAAGTGAACTAGGCCAAGGGTCTCTCTAGTCCTGGATGTGCTCACACAGGAATGATTTTGTATGTACAGTCTCTGAACCCCCAAACAGGAAGCCTGGATTTGAGTTTGTCAAAACTAGAATTCATTATGGTATTTGCACCTTGGCTTCTTGCATCCTGAATTCTAAAACCCAAAGGATTATTGTTTTCAAAGTCACCTATAATGTCACCTATAATGACATATAAGGACTAGAAAAGGGCTGTTTTATAGATGAGGAAAATAGAGTTCAAACAAGTGTAGCGACCTGCATAACATTCCCTTCCTTCATAGGGCACCTGAGGCCAGTCTGCAGTGGGACTCCAGTCCTGCACTTCTCCCGCACTGCAGTACTTGGATGGTGCTTCCTAGGCTGGAAGGATGAGCATGTGGTAGCAGTCCAGTGGCTGGCACTTGATTGGTTAGGTGTATGTGTGAGACTATGTAGCCACCACTCCCCATTCTAAAAGAGGAGGGGGAAAAGCAAGAAAGGAGATCTGTGTTGTCATGGCAATAGTTCAACATTGTAATAATTAAAGCTTTTCTTAAGTGACTAGCTAAACTGTGACTTAGAATATGCACCATTTACCCTGTAATTAGGACCCAAGTTTTCAAGAACAAAACGTTACTATGTTTTTGATTCCTGTTAGAAGAGGCTTTATAGCTTTGATTCCTTTTAGAAGGGGATTTACAGCTGCACAGATTGCATTCAAGGTCATACAGAAAAAATTGCAGATTTCTGAGCAGAGGATAGAAAATTAAAGTTTTGTTATATTAAAGTGCATGGGTATGAAGTTTAAAAAACTAATTTTGCTCACAAAAAAACAGAAGCTTATTCCATAAATGAAAGTGACTTTGACAGGAATATTAGATTATTCAATAAAATATCTCAAACATTTTAGGAACACTGAATATACAAACTGGATTGTACTAGTCCCTTTTTATTACTTCACAACCATACATACAAAATGTTTTCATTTTTATTCTTTTTATGTTCATAAATTCTCTCTGACCTTTCCCTGAATCTAATTTAGGCTCCTGATCCTTTGTATCTGGGTAAATTTAAGGTCAAAATACATTTTATGGTATGCCTAATGAATTCAAATGAGATAGAGCCAAGGAAACAAGTCATTTAAATTGGTTAAAAAAAGAAAAACAAACAACTTTTACATATATATTCATTTAGTTACAGAAACTAAAATATTGGAGTCTAAATGAATGTAGTTTTAATTACTAGCTAATTCCCTCAGCTGAAAGTAATCCTAAGTATATCTCTATATAGAAATAGTTTTTCACTTACTGTCAAATTTTAGCTTCTCTTGGAATGTATGGTATAGCATAAATTATATTACAAATTTTACTTTGTTATTTTCAGAATGTCATTTCTTGTACACTGTACCATGACAATAAACTTTATATGAACTTTTTACATACTAAGTATAATTCTGTTTACAAATTAAATACCTTGCTTCCTTTTAATTCTTGCTAACTAATCAAGGAAATGATAAACATCTCTGAAAATATATCTTCAGCCGGTTCAACCAAGTAAACTTTGGATCTTACAGGACTATGTAATTTTTAAGTGGGAAAAGTTATGTGAAAGCCCATATAAATAATTTTCAGTATTTTGTGTGTTTACTTAAAACGATTGGTGAAATAACTTGATTAAATGAGTTTACCTTGAATATGACACTACAGCCTGGTGATCAAGAGTGTGGCCATTAGCCCCAGATTCCCTCAGTAAGATTTTCACCTTAGCACCTGCCTAGCTTTAAGTAGGTTCCTTCTGTGTGCCTCAGTGTCCTAGTTTGTAAGATAGAGAACATAATGGTGAGTATTTCACTGGGTCATGTACAGACCAAGTGAGTCAATAGTCTATGCCCATCCCTGCCACATCATACACACATTATATTAGCCTTTATTAGAATAGCCTAAAGAATAAGGGTGTATTTAATTTTGCATGTGAAAATGCAAATGTATATTTCTTTCTAATCTTGTGTTTATTAGTCTATTTTACCCCAAATTGTCATCATGTATTATTTTCTCTCATTTTAATTTCTCTATTCGCAACCTCCAGTCGGACACTGGAACTTTTTCTACAAGTCTGCTGTTCTCATCCATACAGTTTTCTGTGGCAGTGCACTGAAATCTAAGTAGATTTTGAAGGCTAAGCAGAAGGCTGAAAGAGAAATATCTCAGATATGTTGCATTGTGTATTCATATTTTCACCTGTGGCACTGTTCATCAGTTGCAGTTTTTATCTTAATTTACTGGGTACTGAGCTACAAATCCTTTCCGTTTTATATGAAATCTGTAAATAATAATAGGCAAAGAGTTGCTGATACTCTCAATTCATTTTGGTTTTTTTCTCATCTGTGTAAAAAGAAGCCATGGAGAAAGGTTAAACTAGTTAAGTACAGCTCTAAGCATTTTATGCAAATATTTGAATAATTAATTGTTCAATATTTCAGTCCAGTTACAGGCAATAAGCCAGCTAAATGTAAGTGTATGAACTTGGAAACACCTCAGCTTGTAATTCTGATTTTAACAAACACATTGTGTGAACACATTATAATGATGTTATGGCTAATTAAGCCAATAAAAATGGCAAAAAAAAAAACAACTATAGGATGATAGAAATTCACAGCAATTTAGATTAGAAAACAACATTTGAGCATCTAAGCCAAAATCCTTTTCTTAAACATTGAACCTTTGCTTTATACTTCAAGTTTGCAGAAGTCCATGTTGCCTACCTCTAGATATTTTTGAACATTCCCTTATATGAAGTTGAAGTCTGTCTCCCCACCACTTCCATAACTTCTTATTCAGTCAGCCTTCAAGCATTGGAATCCAGAATTAATCCTATCTTTGCCCTTTGCCCTCATTTTTCTCCCTTCTTTATTTAACATCACCCCTTCTGGATGTCCACTAATCTTTATTATTTTTTAAGAAATCAGTCATCAGGTATGTGTCACTAAATTAAATATTAAGCAATGCCATAAATGTGTGGATTTGATGCAGTAGGCAACAGAAGTAAGGATTCTGAAGAGAGTTCCCTGACACTGCTGTGAATAGGTAAAAAGTGTAGGCTGAAGGCTCAAGGGAGAGAGAGAGAGGTGACGAGTGTCTGCAACAGAAACGGAATGGGAAGGTTAATTATAGGATTTTCCTCAGGAAATAACAGGATTTTAAAAGTTGAGTAAATCTCAAGGATGGAAGGAGGAGGGTGATTTAAAGCAGCCTACATATGTCCGAGTATGAATGACTCATAAAAATATTAACACTAGACTATAGGAAAGAAAACTATTTTAAGAGCAAAAGGAAGAAAATGACAAGCTTGCTTGGGTTTTGGGTGGAATCCCATCTATTTAGACATATTCATGGAAGATCCCGAGTAATCGGACTAGAAGTTGACGTAACTGGGCCGTATCTGTGAACCATCCATGTCGAGCTAATACTTACACTACTCCAAAAGCTGTAAGTAGTGTGATGGACAGACTGAGGAAAGGCCAAAACAAAAGAGCCAGCACTAAGCCTGGAGAAGACATTTGGGTTGGTGTAACTGATTCTGGGAATCATAGAGAGAGAATAAGAAAAGCAGATCTTAATGTAAATCACATTTTGAAGACATCAGTAAGTAGACATATTTAAAATTCTGGAAATGTTTACTTGATGAGTAGTAAACTGACTATTAGAAATTAGTTAGAATTTTAAAAACTATTATTAGAGGTCCAAATTATAAAACCACCATTAGTTTTGTCCTTAAGGGTTCCGAAGTGCACACCATGTTGGTAAGAGGGAAATATACTCATTTGACTTGTTAGAACTTTATACTCTTTTTAAAAGTAAGTATGCACTTAGTTTAAGAATTAGGAATAATTAACACATTTTAATTATTTGTACACATTTAGTGGTCACTAAAACATGAAATTCATGAGACCCAGATATCCAGATAAAAGAAATCAGCCATTTAAATGACTTACTCAATATGCTATTTCCATCTGCATATACCCAGAGGACAGATAACACTTTTTGTTCAATATTGAATTTTGTGGGTAGTTATGTTTCCCTATAGCAGTCTTTATAATTATTTGCTTATGATTGCGAGCACAAAATTCCAAAAGCTCATAATGTACATCTATGGGAACTCCAGAATTTTAGGAAAGTCCCCACCCCCCGCCATTCCCCTGCCCTCCCTTCAACCCCTCCACCCCTCCCTATTTACAAAGACTTTGTTTCTGTTTTTTCTATTTCACATATTTATTCATTTCTCTTCTTTCCTTTCCCCTACCACTCTCACTTCCCCTTCCCCTTTGGACCTTTTCTTCCTGTTTTACATTATCTATTATACATTTGGATCCTTACTTACACTTTCACTGCCTCACACCAGAGAAACTATTCAGTATTTACACGTATTTCCTATTTATGTCACTTAAGAGTATGGCCTCAATGTGCATCCATTTAGCTATAAATGTCTCTAGTTTCTCATTCTTTGTGGCTGAGTAGTACTGCATTTTATAAAAAAAAAAACACCACATCTTCTTTATCCAATCTCCAGTTTATGGGCAATTGGGCTGTTTCCAAGTTTTAGGTTGCTTTAAATATTGAATTTCTGTTTTTTCAAAGTAGATCAGTGTGTGTGTGTGTGTGTGTGTGTGTGTGTGTGTGTGTATACACATCTATATAGATACAGATATGTTTTTATTACCCTGGGAGTTGGGGAGAGTTTATATGCCATTTAAAAATATTGACATCCAGATGATCTGTTTAAATAATTGTGTGTATGTGTATGTACAGACACAATTCCTTCAGGAGACACCTACCAAGACAAATGCAGGTGTCCAGTGTGGATTTCAGCATGGGCACCGAACCTGTTTTACAAAGAGGAGAAACAACAACCAGCATTGGGAGAATAAAACCAGAGCTCTACAAACAGAAGTCAGTGGACTCTGAGGGCAACAAAACAGAAGATGTCAAAACCTGTGGGAAACTTAACTTTACCCTCCAGTATGATTATGAAAATGAACTTCTAGTTGTTAAAATTATCAAAGCCTTAGATCTCCCTGCGAAAGACTTCACAGGAACTTCTGATCCATACGTGAAGATGTATCTTCTTCCAGATAGGAAAAAGAAATTTCAGACCCGTGTACACAGAAAGACTTTGAATCCTCTATTTGATGAGGCTTTTCAGTTTCCAGTAGTATATGATCAACTAAGCAACCGCAAATTACATTTCAGTGTATATGATTTTGACAGATTTTCTAGACATGACATGATTGGGGAGGTGATTCTTGACAATTTGTTTGAAGTCTCTGATCTCTCCAGGGAAGCCACAGTATGGAAAGACATTCATTGTGCTACCACAGTAAGTAAGAACTCCACCAATATATTATTTTTTATTTGAACTATGGTGATAAGACTTCTACATAGATCATCAGAATAAATTCTACAAAGTTCTAGAATGTATGTGATTTGGTTATAGAATAAGAATAACTTGGACATCTAAGACTTTATGAATAACATTAGTGATTGTTTAAATAATAAATAAGCACCTATAAGTTGCCAGAAATAGTAGGACTTTTTTCTTATATAATATTTATATGTAATCTAGCCCAAGTACCTAGATTCCTCATGGTTAATATTGACTTCCATTACTTAAGGTGATTTTTGTTCTTCAGATCCAACCTAACATAAACTTTGATGCTATTTGATTTGACTTATAACAGCTCCTGACTTTCGTGATATTTACATGATTACAGTGCATAAAAAGCTGAATGATAGAGAAGGGCTTGTTCACATTACAACTCTTATTCATTACAAAATGCATTCACTAATTATAAAATATCAGAGCATAGTTGGAAATTTGGAAAACAGTAAACATGTAACATAAAACATGTAAACATGCAGCATAAAATTAAGATCATTAACACTGCTACAAATTATGCAAGTATTTTAGCCTACAATTATCATTTTTTTGCCATACTTGCATTAAAATAACTAAGGTCATACTGCTAATTTTCTTTCATGTTGTTTGTTTTAATGCATGATACTAAACATCCGTTTACCTAACCTTTTTCTTACTGTTATACATTTAAGATAAATTTTGTTATCCTAAAAATTGTGCTTTTTTTCAATATGAGTTTTTTCTTTTTTTAAATTGAAGACTATTTCTCAGGACAGAATTATAGAAAAGGAATTAGAAAGCTGATCTCTTAGGTTAAATTGCTAAATTGTCTTGCTTTGGTTTTTAAATTGAAGCATTTAACTTTTCTTGTTGTTTTTGTTTTTGTTTTGAGACAGGGTTTCACTATGTAGTTCAGGCTGTCCTTGGACTCACTCTGTAGTCCAGGCTGGCCTCAAATTCCAGGCAGTCCCCCTGCCTCAGCTTCCCAGAGTGCTGAGACTTCAGGCATGCACTACCATGCCCAGCTTACATTTAACTTTTTTACCACCAAGTTGTTGTCATGCTTTTACCATCTTTTGTTTAAGTTTTACCAAAATAAATTTAAAATATTGAACTTTTGAATATAGACAAAAGATTTTTAAAAGAAAATAATTTTTAAAAATTCAAAATAGCTCTTGTAAATGTTTTACTAATTACAGTTAGTATTTGGGATGGTTATACTGTCATAAATTATGTAGATGAGTTAATCTAAAAATTATTATTTTCAGTTTAATATTGTATTATATCAGCACCGTGTTTCCAGTTGGTAGGCTTTATTTCATGGTATCCATTGTGATATCTGAAGAAACACAGAAGAAAGTTAGAAAGTGGCTAATGTTTCAAAGGCACATTGGGGTCCTTTTGACAACATATTGGTTTTTCTGTATTATATTTCTACAGGGAAATTATGGTGAACAGTGATTTTTACTGTTTTTAAAAACATGACAGCTGCTAGAATTCTAAAAGTGAAGATAGTAATTAATTATTAAATTATTTCTTTTGACTCTTCAGTCATTATTACTTCCATCTTTAACAAATACTGTATTTACTGAGTGCTCAGTCCATGCTTGGCGTGCTCTAAGTATTAGGCATGAACCAACACATCTCTATAAAAATTGTTTTGAAGCATGTTCTAGTCAAACATTCAGATTCACAGGTAAATAATAGACAAATGAAGTCTAAAAATTCAGATAATTTTCTAGGAAATTGGTACCCTTGTGACACTGCTTGATGCATTTGGCAGATGGATTTCAGTCTCTTGTGTATGGTGAGCAAAGTAGATCCAAATGTAAAAAAGAAACCAGATACATTAATTGAAAGTAACAGGAAGATGTGCTCAAGGCAGGTCTGTCCAGCAGAAACAAGAATGTGACATGGACAGAATAGTGGTATCTGGGTGGCAGGGAAATAAGCACACAGATGAATCAGGCTTTCGGATTCTAAAAGATGTGCACCCCAGCCCAGGTGCCTCTCACCAGGTCTCTGGATAAGACTGACAGGAATGATTGACAGGGTGCTGAGTCATCTCAGGGGCTTTCCAGACACAGACCTGTCCCAGAGTTCACTGGTATTAAATGACATACATGAGGTACATACAGTCCAGACTGATGAGCCTTTAACAAGGTTGGAACAGAGAAAAGGTTACTAGAGGTCAGGCCAGGGAACATGCATGTGCTCTGGGCAGGAGCTGTAGAGATTTCCAGGGTCTTTGTGATTTTATTTTGATTCTCTTAGAACAATGGAAGAATGATTGGCCCTGAAGTGTTATCCAAATCCACCTGGGTGGAGGGGGAGTGGTCTCCCACCTCCAATTGTGCTACCTGAACTACTTATTAGTAGACTTTTTTTTTTTATAATCATACATTTTTTATATTTCAAACCGGTGATTAGAAAAAAAATTCAGTTTCTTATAGAAACTTCCGTTTTTGGTTGTCAACAATACTTACATATTGTTTTTTCTAAATATCAGTAAATTGTTTTACATTTTCAACTTTTTCACATGACTGGCATATTAACTTCCTGTATGTGCTCTAAAAACTCCCACAAAATTAATGTCTTAAAATACCACAGTTTGGCTCAGGGTCTGATGTACAGTCCTTTCTAGATAGAGTCAAGTGGGAAGATCCATTTCCTTCCATTTTCCAGCCCCAGGGATTCCTTGGATTAGCCAGGACCCACTTGAGTAATCCTAAGAAGATCTCCCCATCTCAGGTGCTGTAGGGTTCATCACATCTGCAAGGTCCCTTTTGTCACATGATGCATTTACAGACTCCAAGAATTAAGAAGCAGCTGTTTTCTTCCTGCCACACCTACTTTTTCACATCAGTGTTGTGAACATAAAAAGTAAACAGAAAATTAAAAGCTATTCTAGTAGGAAGGCCTTTCTGCTTAACTGGAACATGGAACCACACATTACTCAAAATGCTGTTTATAGCTTTTGCATTGAGAGCAGAGTAAAGAACATAAATTTCTAGACTACTGTATTTGGCCAAAGAGCATAGTATGCAATAGTATCATCTGTATGGTTAAATATAATATTTAGCTTTCAATAAATCATTAAACAATTTTACATTTTCTTATTTATAAAAATGTTTAAATGATGTAGATTGAAATTCACTTGAAAAACTTTATTTTTATTGTACATCTTCAGTTTTAAATAATTTCATATTGAAATTATAATTTTCTATAAATAAGAATATCAAAAGAAAAAAGAAGTGTAGTATATTTGTCACTCATCCAACCTGGAAAAGTGATACCAATATGCAGATATAAAGGAATACAGGTAACAGATAACCCAATAAGTTGAATTAAAAGAGATACTGATGATAATTACAAATATTTTCATATAATAAGAATTATTATAATTTCAAATTCTTGTTGACATAATGATTTGTGAATTTTCAACAAAGCTTCATATAATTACGAGTGAAATTAACTTAGTCCAAAATGTGTTGCAGAAAACAAAGTATTTTTGACCAACTAGAAATGCAATAGTTGGTTTGTCATTAATTTTAACTGATTATTTTTAGTATCACGAAGTCCTACTTTGCTAGCACATGGATCTAAGTGCCATGGCTCTTTTTTTCCTACTTCATGCCAATTATATTTTATATTTGCTGAAAACAGATGTTATGGCTTGTGTCTAGATGTCACCCCAAAGCCTCATGCAGTCTTAGATGGGGCTTTTTCAGAAGTGACTGAATCTAGAGTGTGTGACTGTTTCATGGTACAGGGATAGGTCCAAGTGCACTAGGATTAAGGTTGTGAGTGCAACCCGCCCGAAGTAGTCCGGATAAAATAAAAGAGGCAGAAAGACACTCTTAGGGTCCCTTGTTGCTTTTGCTACTTTGTGTGCCTCATGTTGTTTCTCCTTTCTGATACCTGTTTGCCATCTACCCTGCCTTGGAGCTGGCTGCTTATGGAGTGAAACCTCTACAAACTGTGAGCTAAATAAACCTCTCCCCCTTTAACTTTGGGTGTGGGATATTTTGTCTCAGCAACGAGAAAAGGAACTAAGAAAACCAAACTCTATGAAATCAGAATTTCTGTTTTTTGTGATTGTTAAAATTATTTTAAGCATCTCATTCATACAGATTTTCATCATAGAATCTGTGCCACAGTTTTTTCCCTCCATAAGTCCAAAGTCCTGCCCAAGGCCTTATCTAGAATAAGCTTGCTAGGATAGTTCATTCTATGAAGTTACCTTTTTTCCTACAGCATTTGATTCAAATAACTTTCATTTCATCACATAAATATTTACTGAGAACTATCTATGTACAAATATATATTCAGTTCTAAAGCAGAAAGAAATAGTAGTAAAATACAAGTTTTGACTAAGGACTTCATTCTAACAAAAGCGACAAACAAATAAAGCTTGTTCTTCTACACACACATACACTTTCTGGTGTAGATTGCATCTTATATGAAAGTAGAATTAAGATCATCTTTGGAGTATGATACAATTCTAAAATGGTGAGCTGATTATTCCTTGAAGAGAAAACAGCATGAGGAACAGGAAATAAGTCAAGACTGGTGAATGATTTCAGGAGGAACATGTTGAGTTCAAGTCTGAGATGAAGAAGAAACCAATGGGCACCCAGGAGGACCCCATTCCAAAAAGAAGGCGGCCCTTTAATGATGTAAAGGGTTTATATTTATTTGGTTTCTTTCAGGAGAGTGAAATTACTGCAGCTGTTACCTTGTAGGCCCACTCAGTGTGTAGGTAGGAACAGTGAGCTGTGAAATGGGGTGCCATAGGAATCCAACACAGCAGGAGAAAATCTGCAGCCTAATTCAGGCCTGTCCACAGGAAGAACAGAAAGGTGTAACATGCTAATGAAGGATTGTTGGCTGCACTTATTTAAATATTTTACAAGTATTTGCCTTATGTCTGCCACTTGCTTCTGAGCTTCTGGAAAGCA